CACGACTTACTAAGTGGTGCGCACGACTTACTAAGTGGTGCGCACGACTTACTAAGTGGTGCGCACGACTTACTAAGTGGTGCGCACGACTTACTAAGTGGTGGGCACGACTTACTAAGTGGTGGGCACGACTTACTAAGTGGTGCGCACGACTTACTAAGTGGTGGGCACGACTTACTAAGTGGTGCGCACGACTTACTAAGTGGTGGGCACGACTTACTAAGTGGTGCGCACGAGATAGTTTTTTTTTTTTTTTCATCCAATGTGTCCCTTTAGGGGCTCAGTAGGATTAAGAACTGATTGAGTTATTATTATTTTTGGACTGAATCAAACTGAAGCTTTTCATTGAACTGAGCACCTGAACTTACATTTGGACTTGAACTTGAATTTAAAGTGCCATACTTTGATTTTCATGTTATGTCTCTGAATGTGATTTGAATAATTGTGGTCCACTTTGATTTAATTGTGTTTGAAGGTATTTCCTTACCTGTGAAAGACAAGAAAACGAGTTAACTCAGGAAGAAAAATAGGAGTACTAAAATAGGTGTAACCTAGGAAAAGAGACTGGTCTAACTAACTAAAATTAGTCCCGCTAAAATAACCTAGGAGAAAAGAGACTGGTCTAATTAAACTAGATTAGTTTTACTAAAATAAACCAGGTGAACTAAAGAGTAAAAAGAAGGAGTGATATACTTCTTGTCTTTTCTTTCTTCTTTTCTTTTTCATTTTTTGAGGGGTTTTATGTATTGTATTTTATGTGTGTGTTTTGCATTCAGTAAATTGCCGGCTTTCTTCATTTAAAGCAGCAGTCTCTGGTGTTGTTATTTTTGCTTCCCCACTCCTTAGAGTCTAGAACTGGTCCAGTGGCGCAGTTAGCGGTGTGATACCGGTGCTACACCAGCTTCAGAGCTGCTCCTCCATTTCGAGAGGAGCCAGTTGCGGTGGCTCAGGCTCCTGGACGCCTCCCTGGTGAGGTGTTCCAGGCACGTCCCACTGGGAGGAGACCCAGAGGAAGACCCAGGACACACTGGAGGGACTACTTTTCTTAGCTGGCCTGGGGACGCCTTGGGATTCCCCTAGACCAGAGGTCACTAATAGGCAGACCTCGGTCCGGATCCGGACCGAGTGGGGGGTCCCATGCGGACCCGAACGCAGTACATGATCAGCCCCTTTCATAAGTCAAATCCGCGCAATTGCCGCACAGACCAGTCCAGCTTTAAGCCTCCCCAGGTCATTCATTAGACCACAGGGGAAGGCGGGCAGGTCCCGCTCACATAAACGTGTTCATAATGAATCTGCAGCGCTGATTCAAAAGAGGCGTGGAGCAGCTGAGCTGAACAGGACCGCGACGTAGCTTTTTCTTATGGGACAGATGCCTGCTGCCTCGTATCAAACAAAACAACTGAATTAGCTCACTTTAGTGATTCTGTGGCGGTTAAATATTTTAAAAATAATTATACAAAGTTGCTGTTTCGTGTCATTTTTAATATTCCCTCTAATAATTCTCCAGCTGCACTGACGTATCAAGCACGCACACACACCAAACAAAGCCCCTCCGCTGCTTGCCCCTCTGCGTTAGAGAAAGCAGAAAAAAAGAACGAAACTTCCACACATTGCTGTTTCGTGTCATTTTTAATATTCCCTTGTTAATAAATCTGCATGGTGATTAATCTTGTGGTCGCTCAAATTCTGTGCGCAGATCCCTTTCTGGTTTACCGTCGCAGCTTTTACAGTACGGTAGGTGATCAAATGTCAAAGGAAACCCACAGACCAATTACCTGCGAGTTTCGCTATACCACCCATTTGTCATCACAGACATCAGGAGCTTCTCAAAGGAAGTCACATAGCACTTCAAATGGGCAAATGCTGGGCATTTACAGATGCAGTTAGTTGACCTCCAAGCAGATTTGGCCCTGAAGGAGCAGTTTGTCAGGACTGATTCTTCCACTTTCTGGCTCCCGATGGTTCCTGATTCAGCTTTCCCAGGTCTGAAGCAAGTAGCCTTGTAGATCTTGACCATGTTTGGCTCCAATCACAACTGTGAAGCAGCTTTCTCCACAATGAACATAATAAAAAACAAATACCGTTCCAGGCTGACCAATGAGCACTTCCACACATGCATGAGAATGGCTCTGACTCCATTCAAGCCCAGGTTTAAAATTCTGGCAGGACAAGTGATATAAGAATAAAAATGTTCTTTGATTAATGTACATGTAGGAGTTTTGTAATTATTGAAAAGTTGCTAAATTATAAGTTTCTTATAATTTATTAGCATAATAAAGGGGCACCACCTGTGAATAACAGGAAATTAATCGCATATTTTTACTCAATCTCATGTACTGAAGAACGGAGCGCTTTTCAGTTTTTGACGATAAAAATCAAAATAAAAGACGCACAGACAAAGCATAAATTTCATAATATACCCTATATTAAGGATTCAGAGATAACAATACAGACAGGTTATTTAGGCAGACAGAAACACAATTATTATCATAATCTCTATGACTTTAATAATAACGTGAACTCATCACCCGATAACTACCTCTCGTATTATTTGTTACTGAACCACTTATTCTAAACTATTTCTATTCTAACAAAAGGAATGAACTTACCTAAAACACAACTGAAGAATCATTATCTAGATAAACTCTAAAGGGACCAAGTTATGGGAAGAACATGGCTTGCGTTAATTCTAAATTGATTTTAATTCATAATAGAGAGCGCGCACACACCAAGCTGCCATGGAATTCAGCATGGCTTACCCGGAGCAGTATTCAGACCTCTGAGGGTACTCTGTAATGGGTTCCGGTCACAAGCCTAGTCTTACCTCTGGTTGACCGTCACCATGGGCTGGCACATTGGCAAACCTCTTTCACCTCACGCGACAGTCGACACGTTCCACAGCTCGGCTGAGTTCTGACTTTATGAATGAACATCAATCACGAATCCTGCGCAAGCTTTGCGTCCTCCCAATAACTCCGTCAAAAGTACAAAAAAAAATAAAGAAAACAAATAAAATGAAAATAAATGTCCTCAAAGAGGGAAAAATGGAGCTTAAAACTCCTGTCCTTCCTCTCTCGCTGCTGTTTCAACTCCACTCTACTAACTAAAAAAATGTTATATCTTGTCCTGACTGTACAAACTCCTGATTGGCTGAGATAATCACATGGTCTGTTTTTTTCACGGTTCAATGCTGCTAAAAATGACACACAGAGTGATGGGTTACTTGTACAGTGATTAAACCAAGACATTATCACAGTGATTGAATCATGATAGAAAAATACACTGTTTCTTTTCTTCTCTTTTTTTTTATCAGATGACAAACAACAGAAATTTACCCAGAAAAACATTRGTTCATGATGTYATTATGAGACCAGCCTTTTGGGGGCGCTCTAAAACCATAAATGAGATTGTATGTAAAACATGTCTTTTGAAGCTTGTCTGTGGGCATTATCCCAGCAGGGGACTTGGTCTGCTAGGGGTGGTTGTGGATTGCAAACCCATTTCTGGAGACTTTCAGTCTGGCAAATGGTGGGTCCTTTGTGATAAACGGCCATTTTTGAGTACTTGAAAGAGATCTCACAACAGTGCTTAATCAATTGGAGGTTGCATTGTCCTGTTTATTTTAACACCTGTAGATTGTAAACAAAAGGGTTTGATGGCAATGGAGGAAGTCATCGTTCTCTGTAGATATGGGAGGATGAGTAATTATTGATTCAAGTTCTGGTGTGGAACTGTTCCTTAAGTTTCTGCTACATACATTTACTTTTCAGTATATAAACCATACAAGGTTTTCTGTTTCTATGTTCTTTGACTAATGCAGTATTAAGAGTTTAAACAAGTGTTTCTCATCTACAAAGTTTTCTGTTTCTATGTTCTTTGACTAATGCAGTATTAAGAGTTTAAACAAGTGCTTCTCATCCTGACATGGCTCTCTGAGCCAAATTTGAAGTTGTTCCGGCGCCTGGCTCTTGTTATCGCTTAATATATATCATTTTGACATGTTTTGAAGAAGTAAAGCCAAATTGAAGTTGTATTTCATGTGTATCTGGCTGGGCCTGACTCGTTCAGATTGTCTCCTCATGAAGTCAGTGGGTGTACATGTGGACACTGGCCAGGCCCGCTTGTGCATACACACTCATGAAGTTTGAGGCGATAAAAAGGGGAGTCAGACACACCCAGATTTAGAGTCGGACGGTCAATGGATCCAGACGCGCGGTCATCCGGTTGATGCCCGTGTTCGAACCTTGAGATTATCGGGCTCTCTAATCTTGTGTCATTCAGGTGAGAACTTTGTGTTTGTTTTTATTTTGCATCAACCTGTGTGTGTAAGCACTGAATGTGCTGCTTGCTGTTGCTGTGGGGAAATAATAAATTGACACTATTGATTTCTAGCAGCTCCAGTCTTTGTGTGAATTCTTGTGTCATCCTCATTTCTTCCACTCAAAGTGCTGACCCTTACGAACCTGATTTAATAAATTTAGATAACGAATGAAATACTATTATTAAATTTTTATTGAATACCCCTGCCCTAGACGAGCTGGCCCAAGTGGTTGGGGAGAGGGAAATCTGGGTCTCTCTGCTTAGGCTGCTACCCCTGTGACCCGATCCCGGATAAGCAGAAGAAAACAGAAAGACGAACAGACGGAAAGGGCTGCTTGTGAGCATTTACATGCATTTAGGCAGACGTTCTAGAGCCAGTGTGCAGTATGGAAAAAAAACTCAGATGCTCTGACATGTTGCTTTCATTGAATTATTGTGTGGAACAGATAAAAATTGCCTTATTTTTTAGGGTTTTAATTTTTAATTTTCAAAATAATATGACCCTTACCACTGTTGTATCTGCAATGTTGCATACCTTTTGCCAGTGTATGAATTGATAAAATTTGTAGTCACTTCTATTTCTGCAGCGCTACTGCGCAAAGGTTTAAAATAAATAAATAAATAAAATTCACATAAAGGTTAAATCTGACAAGAGTCCAGCTATGCTGGTTTGACTTAAGAAACCTGCAGCTGGGTGGTCAGTCAGCAGTGGCTGGCCCAGACTTCAGGAGTCTATGCGTAATGTTTTGGTCACTTTCTTGCTTGGAGGTTAAGAGGCACGACAGATGTCTTTGCGCCACCCCACCCCCTCACCATTGTCTTCTGAATGGACTGAGGTGGTCAGAACACACATCAGCAACATAATGAAGGAGCCTAGAATGTTGATGTCTCAGTTTTCAGAGCACCATTGTTGTAATTTGGTGCATCACCTAATGTTATAATGTACCATCATAATTTTTAAATACACTATATTTTAAAACCGAGGTGTACCACAATACAGTCATACTGCCCAAGCCTAATCAGGGCAAATTATTGAAGATCATTACCAGCTCTCTACTTACAGATGTGACATTTTTAACCTCTGACTGGCTCAGTTATGGACTGCCTCACCCAATCACTAGTGTCTTAAGACCCCAATTCAGCTGTGTTTTCTCACAAAACATGGACAGGATGCTGCTGCTTTATAGACAACATAAAATTAAGGGACAAACCCTGTCCCATACTGAACATATGAATTTAATTGCTAACTACAGGATGATTCTACATAGTGTGTGAAAATCCTAACCTGAACACAGCAATTCAAGATGAATTAATATAAGATACTCAAAGCACTTTACACTACAATCCGTGCCCTCATTTACCAATTCACACACACATTTACACATCTCTCCATGTTGGTTACATTGAGAGAAAAAAAACCTCCACTGACACAGATTTAAATTTATTTCGTTAAAAATAAAATCACTGTACTAAAACAGATTTGTTTTTTTACCTTCTGATTAAAAGGCCACTTAAGGAGTGCATCGCTGTGCCCCCTCATCACCACAAAGAACAAAGACAGGTGGGTGCCACGGCCCGTCCCGTCACCATTCAGGTAGATCCGCAGGCACATCTTGTAGCCGTATTTACTTGTATAAAAAGCTGAGAAACACAATATAAACTTAGAACATCATGATACATTTTATTACAACCAGACAAAGACCACCCAAAATACTCACCAGGAGAAAACATAGCAGGAGCGCGACCAGCCACAGCATCCTGCCTCTTCTTGGTGAAATCAGAGATCTTCCAGATGAAGATGCCATCATAAGTGGCTGCAGACATCTCCCTCATTTTCCCCTCCATCTCCACGATGGACAGGTCCCTCAGACTCACCGTCCTCTCCAGCTGTCGAACCTTCAGCAAAGCAACACAAGAAAAAGGCTTTTTAGTGACATAAAGGAGATTTATTAGAATTATTTAAACCAAAACAGAAGCTTGAACTTCATCACAAGAATGAACAAGACATCTAACCGTTAACCAAAACTGGGTAAGCTAAAATATACACATTGGTTGATGAGGTGAATTGATTAATTAATACTGAATGATTTTTAACAAGTTAAGGCAACCCCAAAGCTTTGAGGAGATAGTTTAAATCTTTGAGGTGAGATTCTGTCAATTGATTATGAATGAGTAATATCTCACCTGTTGTAGATACATAACAATAAAACCAGAGGTGACTGTAGCTTCAAATTATTGCCGGTATTATTACATAAAACGTCATTAAATGTCCCGTGCAAGCAGCATTCTTTTTCTTGGTAAAAAAGGACAACCTGTTGGCAAAATCTGGTTGTCCGCAAAACATTTTAGTTGTAAAAAAAAAATCAATAAAAAGTAATTTGATAAGTAGGCTATATTGTTCTGTATACAAAGTTTACTGTATACAAATGTTCTCAGTCAGCAGGTTGACAGTTTCAGGAGCTGCTTGAGTAAAACGTCCTGGTTCTACTCATCCTCATCCTTGAAATAGAGAACAAAAATATTGCTACTAAAACTTTTCTACACCTATAGGTTACCCAACATTCAAAAGCTTTCTGCTGTAAGGGTCCCCGGAGGGGAAAAAAACATTTCCACTTGTCTTTGACTCTGGTTTAAAAAAACTTTCACAAAAGAGACATTTTATTTTCTTTATAAACAAAATAATTATGTTCTTTATACATTTTTTGATTTATACTTTCTTTTTAACTACAAGTAATTATCATTTTATAAATCAAAGTTACATAATGAAAACAGTAACAATCTTTTACATTATAATTAAAAAAAGAAAACACACAAAGAAAATTTCTTCAATATTTCTTTATTAGTCTTACACAAATATTTGTTTAATCAACTATTATTTTTTCAGTAAAAGTGATTTTTTTTCTGATTTATTCTTCAATTTAACTAAGTTGATCGTTGTGATTATGACTTCACTGTGTTTTATTATGAACTATACCTAGACAAAATATTTGTGCTTGAATCACAGACAAATATTTTTAGATTGATTTCAGTTTAAATAATTCTCTTATATTTCATTGAACTTTGATTCATTTTTCATTCAGTCTGTCAAAGTTGAACTTGTTTTTCTGAACCAGGTGCGGAACGTTACTCCGCTTTTAGTCAAAACTTTCATTCTTTCTGCCTGTACTAACCAAAAGTTGAGGTCATTCCTAGTTACTCCCTCTTTAGATACTAACACAGACTGAGACTCGACAGAGAAGAGAGTGAGAAAAGAGGAGACGAAAGAACATCATTTTCCTGTCTCTGAGCTGTTTTCCTTTTACAGGAGAATTCAGCATTTTGACAATGAGATTCGCTCATGAGCAAACGAGCAAATCTTTTGTCTAGGGTCAAGACGGTCCGTGTACATTCAGGCAGTTCGTTTTTTCATTTGAAACAAAAAATGAAAAAACAAAAAAAGCACTTGTTTTTTCGTTTTTGAACCAAAACGAAAAAACGGATTATGAACCGTTATCCGATTTTGTGCACAAAACAAAAAAGGAAAAAAACGAATAAAGACGGGGGTCAGTGGTCAGTGTATCTTTTGGTCATTGGATTTTCATTTTAGAAACGGGTATTAAGAAACAAGAAACGAGTGGATATTTGATTTTTGTTTTAAAATACTGAAATTAAAATTAAAATACAAAGCGTGTCTCATTCTTAGTGTCAAAAAAGGATAAACAAAWTTTTTTAAATGATTTGAGTTTCATTTTCTGTTTRGGATAGCAAAAAAGAAAATTAATTTAGGACAGAAACGAAAAAAGGCTTGTTTGTTTATATTCTACCACTATCTATTCCCCCACCAGAAGCGGCGCTCGCCTGGCAGCTCTGCATAATGAAACACTAATTTCTGTGAATAAAAGGCTGAAACACAGAGAAATACGTCCATAAATGACTTGTATGATGACTGTCGCTCTGTGACCAAAGGCTTTGCAGAGATAATTCATGTGGTTTTTTGCCAATTAAGTCTCTTTTACAGAATACATGTCGACTACTACCTCCACTTCACCTCCATTTCTCTCAATAAAAAGCAAAACAAGACAAATTTCATTCCATTTCTGTGTTGTACAGTTGTTGTTCTGTGAGCAGAAWGTTTTTTTTCCTCCTGAGTTTTGACAAAATCGATGCTTTTTACTGTCAGTTGGCGTCCTCGAAGTGTTCCTTTAAGTGAGGGGTGGGCGGTACAATTACCTTGATATCGATCTGATACCAAATAAATACGTGGAAAATATATTTTTCGTTGCAGCAGATAGGTGTCCTACAATGCTCGGAAATGAGCGTCAGAAGATTTTGTGCTCGGCATAATCT